TATTTTTATTACGATTCTTTACCATGTAAATATTTAGAAGGGGCTCTGTTGTTTTGACCTACTGTGCATCTGCATGCAACATTCGTGCTGCAATTTCTTTTTGCATAATGCAAGAGACTGTTCAACTTTTGCCCAGACGGTGAAGCCAGTTCAATCAGCTCCTCAGTTAAAGGAAACATGGAGTGTTTTTTCTTTCTTTTAGCCAGAAACTTACCTGGTGAAAGTTCTTCGGTGACGGCCTGTGTTTGTGAAATTAGCATGAGGCAACTGCCGAGCAGCAGCCATTGTAATGCGCTCATTGTGGGAACACTTTTGTTTCGAGTTGGTCGAGTCTGTCTTCAAATTGGATCTGTAAAGGTTAGAATGAAAAATTGTATTAAATTAATAATGAGCTTTTGATTCGCTTTGGACATCAAATCCGTTTGAAAAGGGGGTGGCTCAAACTCGAAATGACACGGTTGTCTGTTAAAAGAGTTGAGTAATTAAGAACAACTGTGTTCGTTATGAGAAATCGAAAAGGTTGAAATCTAGATTCATTTTCTAGTTCAACGGAAATCATTTATTATGAGTACTACAATACAATTATGTATTGTTTATAATATTCATGTAGCTTAGCCATTTTGAATTAAAAAGGCATACAGCATATCATAAATATATTCAAATTATAATTTCCCTATTTTATGAACTGGCAAAATCCAATAACCTTTGTGGGTCATTACATTTTAATATTTATTGAACAATGAATATTTATTGTTGTTGATTATTGTTAAATAGTTTTAGGTGTAATCACAGTTCACAAATTATTGAAAAAGGTTATTGAATTTTATTGTTTTATGGTATTTCAGTGCGCATAATTATTGTGCTGTAAATAACTTTGCTTCTCGTCGCAGATTTAATTGAAAAGTGCAAGAATTGAGTGACTAATTGCAGCATTCCTTCTCCGCGTGATTACTTATATAGCAGGTGGCTATGTACTAGATACATCTGCGCAATTTGCCAATAAGATTTCCACCATCGACAGGCGGCAGTTCCGACGCACATTATTCACCGGGTGCTCGCGCCGCAAAGTATGCAACGTCATGCGGTGTGGCAGTGAGATGACGATGGAGGTCAGCGGTTGTACGTTGGAGGTTGAAGGTTCGGAGGGAAATGGGTGGAAACTGTGGAGTGCGGATCTGGAAAAGGCGCCGCTGAAGGCGAAGACCTCCGATTGGGGGGCGTGCCCTGAGCCACACGTCAAACACATTCATCACGAGTGCCAGAGTGACAGATGGCAAATGCGCCTACGGCCTCGTTTGCCCGCCGCTTCTGGCCAGGAATCCTTGGTCCTGGTCGATGGTCGTTGGTCCAGTTTGGCCATGACAACAACGGACAACGGGACAACGGACGCGGGGGACAAGGGCAAAAAGGACAAATGGAAATTTTTCCAATTATTGCCGCCGGCAACAGCAGCAGCAGCGGCGGCGTCAACAAAAAAGAACATTTAACGCTTTAAAGTGCGACAAGGCCCATATTTCATTCATGGCGCTTGGGCTCCGAGATTCTCGGAATCATCAATAACTAATTGCAAAATTTTGAGTGACGTCGCCAGTTGATCAAAAACTCATTCTGTCAGCCGCATGTGGACACGAATCCAATAAAGAACGCCAACGCTACGGAAAATCTCTATATATATTCTAAGCAGTGCAATATGTAATGTGGTCACATCTGGGGCTGACATGATTTTGGCATTAAAACGAAAGTCATTTTTCGGGCGGCTTCTGCGAGAGACCTTTTAGTTTTTGGCTCATTTTGAGTCCTGTACAATTTTTGGTTGGCAAAATTCACTTTTATTTTAGACTGACAGCAGCTGCTGAATAATTACGTATATACAAAAGGTCGCGGACAGGCAAGAGTTAGGTGAACAGTGCGAGACACAAATTTATCGAGGGGTAAAAATGGAGAAATATTAAAAAACTAGTAATAATATAAAATAAACTTACTAATAGAGTAAATATCATTTTATATGAAATTGTCATTGATAATTTAATAACGCGGGGGTGTAATCTATTCTTTCGATTCTACTTTAGATATTTTATCTTCAATAAAATTTAATTTGTTGGTAGATTAATTTGAGCCCCTTAATATTTCAACTTGACGATATACATTTTAAATAAAAAACTAAGCAAGTGCACTGTGTTTCCTTATATTTTAATTTAAGTACAGAAAAACATTTAGTAATTTTTTCCACATAGTAACCCTTTCTCTGCCTTGTCATTTTGTTTTACTAAGGCTTTACAGTTTCGAAACGCACTGTATTTAGGCACCATATGCTGGCATATGACCAAAGACGCGGCTCAGTGGCTCCCATCAACACTTTCAATTTCAAAAGGAAACTTTTGGGCCACCGACCGCACACACATACTCCTGCACAGAGGCGCTGAACAAAAGGGGGCGGTGGGGGTGGTGTTTTTGAGGGGGCGGGGCGGGGTGGTGCTGGCGGATTGGCAAGGTTTTACGAGGTCCTGTTAACCGCGGGTATTTACACTAAGTCTAATGAAATGTTTAACAAGCACTTTGCTCTGCGCAAATCCCAATGACCCATAATATTAGCATAAAATCACTTGGCACACTGGGAAAGGGGGAAGGACCTCCTAACCCACACCTTCCATTCCGCAACCATCCTTCCCAGCCCCTCCATAAATAAGTAGTTTCGGGTGTGTGTGTTCGGGTGTGTGTAACTACTTGCTAGTCAGCCTGCGTGGCTTGACACGCTCTACGGAAAATGCGGGCCTCAGCTCGGGCAAAATTTTCATTTAAATTGCACACTTTAAAAGTTTGGCCAGGGAGCCGAGGAACGGCGAGAAGAAAGGGCTAACAAAGCACCGACATGGCCTATAGCAGGCTGTGTATATATATATATACGAGTATATCCCCGAGTCTGTTCTGCCATTACGCTGCATATAAATTTTTATGTTGGTCCATACTTTATTTGTTTCTGGGCTCCGTTCGGTTTTCCTCCACCCGTCCCACATTTTGGCTACCAAAAATAAATTACATTAAAATTCTAAGCCATCAGCCAGCGAGCTTTGGAAATTTATTTTTCCACATTATTCGCCGCTTGCCGCAAAACTCTATTTTCTTCGTGGGGTTAAGAGTTGGGATCTGGGCTTAGCTTCGGCAAAGTTGTAAAGTATCATTCGAGTCAATTAGTTCATTTGCTGAATTTCATTTCGGTCCGAGAGAATTTTGATGACTTTCATTAAGTTTTGAAATAAATTTGAGCCGAAAAGTGGGTGAAGGTTGCTATGACCACTGGGCTTATAGCCATTATGTTGGGCTCCATTTGTTTATGTAATTACTTTTCGGGTGAATCTTATTTAATGGCTAAGAATTATTCTTCTAGGTTTTTTCAGTTTATGGTTAACCAGGTATTAATATAAGAACAAAAACCTCTTTAATCTGTTTTCGAAACTATAATATAAATTAAAAAAATGTTTTTAAAGCCATTTTAGATTTAAATTAAAATGAATTGGAATACATTTTACCATGATGATATTATAAAATTTTAACTTAAAATATCTTTCCATATAAATTTATATTAAATGTTATTAATTATAGCAAAGGTTAATATTAACGTTATCACCTTAAAAATTTATAATCGTAATTTTTTGACAATATTTTTATTTTGTTTTGATATAACTTTTATAAACTTTTTTTATTTTTCTTTATCCAGGCCAATCTTTCCAAAAATCCTGGTTTAACTTGCACAGGTATGTCCTTATTTCACATATTTACATACATTCGTTTGTGTACATATACACACGAATACAATCACATACATGGCAAGTTGTTTGTACATTGACAAACGGAAATTGATAACAAAAACGACCACAAGTACTTACTTTATTAAACAATTAAGTCAACCTCCACTTCAAATATTTCTAAATGCATGTATTTTATTTTTCAGTTTTTGCTAAGGTTGAATTGAAAAAATGTAAACACACTTTTGTATGGTACACACAAACACGCGAAAAGGAACACAAGCTCAAATATCTTGATTCTGGGTTTATTTGGGTTTATTTAAGGGTTCTAAAGCAATCACAACCATTGTACACTATTTACACCGTTAATTGTTAAGTTTCACTTGGGTTTTTAATAATTTTAAGTCGGAAAAAACACAAAAACAGGCATAAAAATTTACAGACGCTCGAAATTTGCTGACAATCGGAGCAGACAATCTCTTGCTCTCTCTCTCGCGCCGTTTCTCTTCCATTTCGTTTCGTCCTGCGGGAGAGAGGCAGCTGTTCGAGTCCTTTAGGAAAAGGACCTTTCAGGGGGTGAGCGGGTTTTTCGCAACTGTCAAAATGACAGAAAGAAGTTCAAAGTGCGCAGGCGCTTGTTTCGTTTCCTTTGCCATTTCGTTTCAAGGAGCACATCCTGAAATTTCAGCAGGGGTTGCACTTCACACACCTTCTCTCTCTTCCACCCAATTTTTTCTCTCTCTCTCTCTCTCTCTCTCTCTCTAGAGAAGGAGAGAAAGAGCATTCGACAATTACCTGGAGAATTGACATTAGCCCATTTTCGTTGCGTTATAAATTGCGTTTGTCACTTTGGAGCATTCTCAGACTTTGGGACCCAAACACACACATACGCATTTCCAGGGGTGTGATTTTACATTTCCACCCATTCATCTGCCACCCAAAACCCCACCCCCTTCCTCCCTTCCCACCATGCAATTACATTTAACTTTCCTTGAGCAGTCTGCTCGCTTGGAATTAATTTTCGATTTTATTGTCAGTTAGTCAAACCCACTTGCTTAGCTGTCGCTGCGCCTGACTCTGATTTAATTGAAACTGCATGAATATGCAATTTCGGGCTATAAATTGAAATCTCGATTTCTGCCCCTTTCGCCCCCTTTTTTTTTATAGCCTTTTGGAATTTTCACTTTTAATGGCTCTCAGTTGGCTCCTTGCGAGATTTCATCATACACACACACTTTTGTACAAGTTATAGAACAGACTGGAGGCCAATGTGAACACCTGCCCGTACATATATATATATCAAAATATTCAGCCAAGACCTCTTAACAAAACCGAAGGATGTGGGAGAAGCTGGTGAACTGCATTAAGGGCAAGAGTGGCTCCCAAAGAACCAGCTGCCAGTTTGTCCAACTGGCCGATCTGATGAAGCAAGTGCCTCCGAACCAACTGCATATGTTCGAAATGTTCGCCAAGAAAAACGAGGAGTACAAGGAGTAAGCTGGGGGTTACTAAGTGGGGAAATGGGGTCACCAGCTGGGAAATCTTAATTAGGAAGAAGGCATGAGGATAAAATTTTCCTGAACTTAAACAAAATTTAATATTTCAAGTTTTTTTAGATTTTGAAAGTTTGAGTCAGAGCTCTTAATGATATTTTAGTTCGAGACCTGTGAGAGCTGTTCTTTTTACCATCTCCCAATATTAAATTTCGCATATCTTTCACAATTTCTACCCACCACTCGTAATATCATTGTTTAAAACCATTATAATTTGTAAAATATTAGTTTTTCATTTAATAATAAAAACCTCTATCCTAGACGCGTTCGCAAGTACCCAGAATCCATGCCGACAATCGACTGGGAGTACTATCGAAAAAACGTGCGCGAAGAGTTCGTGGAGTGGGTCAAAGGTTATGAGACCAAGTACGACAAACTGCACTCCCTGTTCGAAAATCGAGATGCAATGGTGGACCACAAGCGCTACTTCGATCGAGTGGATGAAGAAACTGTGGAGGTTAAAAAAGCTATAAGCGCCTACAAGGCCGAATCAAACGAGAGAATTAAACAGCTAACCGAAAAGTTGCAGTTCGTAAATGGTATGCTGCCCTACGATCAAATGACCATGGAGGAGTTCTGCTTTGCCCGTCCACACTTGGCACCCGATTTTATAAACAAGCCAACTTTCTGGCCGCACACTCCCGAAGAGCAAACGCCAGGTCCTGCGGATCCAGAGGCAGCTGCTGCTCTACATGAAGATCATGAACCTGAACCTCCGAAGAAACCCACTCCGGAACAGCCACCAGAAAAAGTAAAAACTGAAGCAGCTGTGGCTCCCAAAAAACCATCGGAGCCTCTAGTAGAAACCTCTCAATTAGCTGAAAAGGCCTCCGAATTGGCCAAGGATGTGATGGCCAAAGCTATCATTTTGTTTAACGCTCTCAAGGAGAAAATTGCGGGATTAGCTAACAAAGTGAAGGAAAAGGCAGATGCTACCAAAAAAGCCCGCGCAGAAGCTGCTAAAGATTGTGAATCTCCCACAGCTACAGACACGACCACACCCACAAAAACGCTGGATAGCTTCAAGGAACGCGATTCCGGACCAAACATTTGCACACAGACGATTATCCGCGGCGAAGAAGAAGCCAACCCGGAAATCAAGGAGCGACATTCAAAGTTGTCCGTCGAGGCAGAATGTGAAGAGGCGCGGGAGCAGAAGGCCTCCAGAATAGCTAGGGCCTTGGAACGCAAACGCCAAATGCACGAGGCCGAGGATTGGCCTCACAAACGCAGAGAGGATCCCTGCAAGCCCAAGGAGGATCCCTGTAAGCCTAAATATGATCCTTGTAAGCCTGAAGAAGATCCTTGCAAACCCAAGACAGAAGAAATTGTCTGCAAGCCTGATCCCTGCAAGCAAATGGAGCAGGAAGCCATCTGTGAACCAGATCCTTGCAAACCAAAGAAGAAAGAACCGGTCTGTGATCCTTGTGAATTATTAAAAAAAGAAGACGAATGCAAACCAGATCCTTGCAAGCCAAAAGAAGAAAAGCCTGTATGTGAAACTGAGAAAGATTCCTGCAAGGAAAAAGGTAAAAAAGATGACAAATGCATGGACTCGAAAAATAAGGGGGAGGACGAAAAGGATCCGGAGCAAACCTTCATAAACATATCCCAATGCAGTGAAGAGCTGGCTAAGAAAGAAGCAGAGAAATCTGGGGATCCTGGTAAACCCAAAGAAAAAGCCTCACTGACCGATATAAATCAAGAATCCAGCCAAAAACCGATTTTGGGCATGCAGACTACTGAATCAAAGGATGCCAAAATGGATCAAAAATCTATTATTGAAGGCGCTAAAGAAGTGGGTCCTGTCTACACGGATCCCAATCAGTTGGAAAAATTGCTTGACAAAGAAAAGGAAGTCAGGGAAAAGAAAGAACTCAAGAAAAAAGAGTCTGCAGATAAAGTTGAAGAGATTGTGAAACCCAAAGATGATAAGCCAGTTACTATTTACCCTAAGCTAGAGATATCGACCAAACCAAAAACAAAAGTACCTGATGATACCAACAATTCACCCACGGAGATGGCCAAGCAGGTGTTCAACATGGCCACAGGAGCTGCTTCTCTTTTAACAGAAGCCACAAACACACTGGAGGACTTGAAGAAAAAGAAGGAGGATCGTCTTGAGGCTCTGGAACAGGCCTATACTTCCGCTCAAAGACAGGCTCAGGGAGCTTTGGCCGAAGCTTCAAAAGCCGTGGAAGCCGCCAATAAGTTGGCCAAAAAATCAGCCCAACAAACTGGCGAAATCAGCAGCCAAGACCAAGAGGCTTTGGATATGGCCGAGAAGCATGCCATTTTGGCCAAAATGCTGGCCAGTCGTGCCGTGGCCTTAAAGGACCAACTGGCCCGTGTTCTTAACGATCTAAAGAAGAAAGAATAGTTTCCAGAAACACACATTTTTCCACGATTTTATACCAGTTCTTTGTTAGTTGTTTTTCGCATTAAATTTTCTGTTTCAGTTTTCCCCGTTAAAATTTTCACTTTCATTTGATTTCGAATCGTTACGTTTGTTTTTATGCAAATTTTCTCAGCCAGCTTTGCTGACCAAAAGTTTGCGCTGGGTAATAAATTTTTTCTTTCCCACCAGCTTCGGTTTGCTGGTGAAAAGTTTTCTATTTGGAATTAGCTGGCGAAATGTGTGTGTGTTTGTGTGTGTGTGAGGCTCTCGTAGATTGCATAATTATGCTAATTTTGTTGTTTTTCCACCCACTACTTGGAAAGTGTTAAACGGTATTATGAGTGGAAAAAGGTGAAGAGCTTGAGGAATTATATATAATTTTCTAAGATTTGTTTTATAATTTCTTTAAACTAAAAGTCTTCGATTCTCATTACGAAACAAATGAGTTCATCTTAATTTATCTAAGCCCTGGGATTATCTACTAAGCTTAAGAAATTGTGATCCATACCTAACTAAATGTCAGTCGTCTTCACCTGAGAAAATAGGGTATTAGCTAGTCAAGATTTCTCGTTTAACAGTTTCTCCTGTTTTTGTTTGCTATTCAAAGCAGCCTTTCAAAAAGCGTTGCCTACTTTTTGGCGCACCATTTTCGCAATCAAACACATTTGCATAATTAGCTCGTCCTGCGAGCGTGTGAGTGTGCGTGTGCTCCTGGGGTGTGCGTGTGTGTGTGTGCGTCCATGTCGGTGCGTGTTTAATTCCAGTTTGATAGTTTGTTATAAGCTTTAAGCTGAAACATTTCTTTTGTTCGCACACACAATGGTTCGGTCTGCATTTCGGCGGACAATGTAAACATTCCGCTGAAATCCGGCTTTAATTTATGTGTATTCATCGGCGCACACACACACACACACACACACACCTGTTTACGTTTATTTATATACATATATTTGTAAACTTAAGCGGCGTTAAACAAGCCATATAAATTCAATTTGAAACTGCTTTGTCTGCCGCTCTTTGTGAGTTCTCATTGTATCCACCTTATCGCTTAATCGATTACGTAGGTGACAAAAACATTTTGCTGGCGGGCGGGGGAGTTTCGGGCCTTTTGGGCTCTAATGTACCTTTTGGGACACCTTTTCTGGCCCCTTGCGGAATTTGCATATTTATTTGGACTTTCAAACTGATTTTAACCCCCTGGTTGGTAGGGTTAGTCGATTAAGCTAAAAAGGATTATTCATGAGCTACAAAGTGCCGGCAGAAGCTTAAAGCCAAAGCCAAGCCAAGTTCAATGGAATTGGCCATTCGGCTATTTGGCAGGGCTTGTACATTTTCCCCCCGCCTTTCCCTTCATTTTCCCCCAGTTAGCCAAACTTTTGCTGACTAGTTTCATGTGCCCGTCGACAACTTCCCGCTGTTTCTTGTTGCGGAAATATAAAATATTGCGTTTATGCTTATTGTTTTCTGTCTCTGGCAATTTTCAATCGAAATAGATTCTTTTGGCAAGCTCACAATTCGTTCGCCAGCGAGTTCAACTGGCACTGACCCAAACATAATTAGAAATCCGCTCGCCCAGCCGCGATTTTACCCTTAGTTGGCCAATAACTTTTCCTTAGGGGCATTACGAGTGTTTTTATTGCCCCGCTTCTAACAATGTGCAGCTGATTAACGGTCGGCTTTTATGGTTAGCTCAGTTTTTAATAGCCCGGCCAGGAATGCGCACAAAAGGCCCTAATTAGCGGCATTTAACTAAGCTTCATGTTTGGCGACGACGTGATCCTGATTATTACACCAAAAGCAACAACGCCAGCTCCATAAAGGACCCCAAACGCCACCTGAGTGCCAGCGACCCAGGACATTGAAAATGTAAATTTTCTGCTCGCTCGCAGCGGTAAAAGCTATAGCCGGCGAGCTTGATTAGTGAACGCCACCGACTCCGGCTCCGACTTTTCCGCACTACGGACTACGGTCCGTCGACTCCACAGCGTCCCGTGTCCGTATTTCCTAACGGTATCCGTGTCCCGATCCCGGCGCGTGTCCCTCCACTGGAGCACTGGCAAGCGCTCCTGCTCACTCGTACCCCCACTTAACGACGTAGTTAGCGTTAGTTAACGTATGTACGTGATATCGTTAAACTTGGTCTAACGTTACCAGACCGCCATCGCATAATAAGTGTCTTATTAGTTATGCCAGAGTACAGTTCAAGAAAATTTTCAAACATCGTTATGGAGTAGAAATGATAAGAGATTGGGATTCGTTGCATATGAATTAAAAATTCTGGATTGGTTGGTATTTTGAAAGAGAGAGAGACTATGTAATTTCTTTCTACATTTTTCGGATATCGTTGGAAAGGAGTTTATATTATTAATATTTATATAATTTTATAATTTTTAAAACTCTTGGAGAATATCGATATTCATTTCAAATAACCGAATATTTCAGTACAGATTGGATTTTTAACAGATTGATTTCTTATAACAATTTTTGAAGCATATTGTCTTATTTATATTGCGATTTTTGAAGGACTTTCTAAAAATATTTAAATGCAAAAAAATCATACTTGATTTATTGAATTCATTCCAGGCAAGAATAGGTTTCTGTTTTTATTATTTTAACGAAATCTTGAAATGTGGATTGTTCAGTTGGCTCTTATAAATATTTTACAAAAATCGTTCGAATACCTACATATTAAAATCACTTTTTTGTTGAAATAAATAGGGAATTTTTAATAATTTCAAATATCTGATAATTGTTAAAAAACGGTATGAAGTGTTTTAAATAGCTCCAAGATTATGAAATGGTGAGAATCATTTTTCAATTAATCCTTTTTTCTTGATCTTATCTCTGCTTAGTTTTTCTCGCAGTGCATCTGCGGAGGATCCTGGGCAGGCGACCGAAAGCCAGCGGCAAACCCAGTTTTGGGACACGCACCACTAAACTGGGAGACACTTTCCATGGCCAGGGGCAAGCGAAAACTTGGTCTCCCGACTGGCGTCTCATCAATGGCCAAATTCTGTTTGCTTGGCTCAACTGTTGCCCTGAATTTCAATTTGTTGTTTGTTGGCCGCCGCGTGTGTGCACTGATATGTGTGCTAGTATGCGTCTGAGGAATATTCCTCATCCTGGAAACCCACAATTCACAACTCGCAGTTCGCTTCAATTAGCCAATTGCTGGATGGACCTTCTTGTGCGACTGCTGCCAATTGAAGGGCATTGATGGGCCTTAATTAATTCTAGGCAAATACTGGGGCCGCTGTAAAGTTCTCGGTGCGCAGAGAATTCCGACGCAAGCAGATCCTAAAATAACAAACAACCTGAAAATCTATTTCCAAGATAAAATTAACGCTCTTCTCGCGGCGGATGGGGGGAAATGAAAATTAAATTCCAAACAGCCGGTGGGCCTCTTTTGGCAGGTGGGTGGATGGGGTAGCACCACCAGCGATTTCCCGTCCGAAAACGGTGGTTGTTTGGATGGGCGGTGGTGCTCCTGCTGTCCAGGTAATCGCCAGCGTGTAGTATTTGCTTTTGGCGCTGCTTGTTTATTTTTTAATTTCCTTCCAATTAAGCAACAAACAAGATACCGAAAGCGAAACTGAGACTCGGTCCCAGGGAACAGTCGTCGCGATAAAAACGCGCTCGAATCACCAACAAAAAATAAAAGGGAGACGAAGGCACCAGAGGTAAAATTAAATCAATTCGCAAAGACCATGCTGGAAAATTCATTAAAAAAGCTGAAGCTGAAGGACAGTTCTATTTGTGGTGGTCTTTTTGTACTTTGTGCAATTTGGGAAGGCCATTTAATCAGACAAGAAGCAGACTGATTGAACTTATATTTCACTTTGGCTATCGATACCAGGTTGATATAAATATTAGCCTACTAACTAAATTAATTTCACTTTGGGTTTTGATATTAAGTTGTTTTATTTATTGGCTTCCAATAAATTCAGGTTTTCAAATAGATTACTCCGGTTCTTTCGTTAAAATCTAAATTAAAAGCATTTCTGTAGCTCTGAATTTTGTAAAACCTCGCAATATTATTTTTGCATATCTGCGAGAAATGTTTAAAAATAGAACGTGGTTGGAAATTTATTAGCTCGCCATGATGTGCGGAATGCGGAGGTGAAACCTTTGTCACGCACTCATTTTTGGCTCCGAAAAGGACCTGAATGTGTCCTGTGCATGCCATTACCTATGCAAAACATGTGCGCATTAATAAGGAATGTGCGCTGGGTCTTACATCTCTTCTCAGCACGTTCTTGGAGCAATTTGGCCCTGTGCCGAAATACCCGAATATGCTTTCTTTTCCGGCACTAATTAGGCATATGTAAACGGCTCCTGCCGGCCAGCACTTAGTCCTGCCTAATGGAGGTCCATAAAGGTGGCTCGGAATCCAGGTCACGAGAATCTGGCGTTTATAGGGAACGAAGCCTTGGTAAAAAATTCCAAGGAAACTTTTAGGTTTCTTTGTAATAAACAATCTATGAAAATCATATATGCCATTAAATGTGACAAGGAATAATACTTACACATATGTCTTGAAGGTTTTTCAAGATATAATAGTATGGGTTTTTTAATATTTCTCACAAAATATATTTATTAACATTTTGTTAAGCCCACATTTACTTAACATTCAAATTTCTTTCCTATTAAGTATTAACTTCTTAATATTAAGCATTTTATTTAAACATAGAAATGCTTCATTAATGTTAAATCAAGTATCTTCTTTTGGATTAAAAGTTTTGTACATCTATTTAAACTTTCATTAACTTAATTATTTTAAATGTTTATTTATTTTTCATTGACAACCTGAATTTTTTTTTAGATTTTACAACTGACCGCCATTGACCACGGAATACTTTGTTAACCTTGTAACACCATTCTGACATCAAATTAACCTCTTTGAACAGAGGACGTCCTATGGATAATAAACAACAAGTGACGCAGCACATGGGGACACAGAATTTACAGACACTGAAGTATCGGAGTCCCACTTGGGGATCCCTCGTCAAGTTTTGATTGCAGGAGCCTCACTTGCAGGCCATCTGGTAGAGGAACTGGATGATCGACCGCGTTGGACGTCCCGTCATCGAATCCTTCAGCAAATACGGAGGCACTCCATGCTGGGCCAGCATTCCGGTGCCATGGGTGTCCAAATGGACCCAATCGGAGCAGGGAACCAGTTCGAATAGCACAGCAGCTGCCAGACAGGAGGAGGCGTGTCCAATGCCCCTGTTGCAAATATCATAAGCGGACGTTGGGGCAACTAGGTTGCGGAAGTACTTCCACAGGGGCATGCGCCACAGCCGATCGCCGGTGAGAGCTCCCGCCTTCTGGAAGTTCTTCCACAGGAAGGAGTTATTGGTCCACAAGCCGGTGGCCGAGGCTCCCAGTCCCTTCCGAATTCCACTGGCCATCGAACCCACCTCCACAACCAACTTGGGCTTAAAAGTGGATTGCGCATAGAGGAGGGGATCAGCTAAGAGGACAGTTCCGGCCAGGGAGATATCCTTGATGCGCATGGTCCGTCCATTGAGTAGGGTGACAACATCCCCTGGTTTCGTGGCCATTCCGGAGGGCATATTCTCGCAAAGAGGCAGCACTGCCGAAACATTTATGGGAAGCGAAAGAGCAGCCGCTGCTCGAATGGCAGCCACGCAAACTGCGGCACCGGAAACCGCTCCACGATACTCGTCCATTCCGGTTTTGGGCATCAGACACAGTCCACCGCTGTTGAAGGTCAGCCCCTTGCCGAGCATCAGGATGGGTCGCTCCTCCGGCGAGGTGCCGCAATAGCTGACCTCCAGAATGATCGGCGGTTCGCACGAACCCTTCGCCACCATGAGAAAGGAGTTGAGGTTCATGGTCTCGATCCAATCCATGGATCGCACTTCCACGGAAACGCCGCATGGACAAAGCGCGTCCACGGTGGCCTGAGCGAAAATCGAGGGTGTCATTTGGTTGGCCGGAGTGTCGGCCAAACGGCGGGCCAAGTTCTGCGATTCGGCCTTGAAGAGACCCCTTGTCCAGGCATCTTGATCCGTGGATCCGTAGAGCTCCAGCTTTGGAATGGCCAATCGGTTGGACTTCTTCTTGTTCACATTGTAGCGCCACACAGCCATGGCAGCTCCCTCGGCCGCCTGTTCCGGGTACTCCATTCCATCCACGTGGCAGGTGGTGCATCCCTGCATTTGGAGAGCCCGCGCTCCCACGGCGGCGCAAACCCTCACGTTCTCCATTCCCTCGTCGAGAACCTCTTCGGCATTGAAGCCGGCTCCCTCCTTGCCCAAGCCAACCACCGCCACTGCCCAGTATTCCTTGTCCAAGTTCTGGAAGATGCGACCCACTCCCAGCTCCCCGCTGAGTCCAGATTCCTTGATCAGCTCCGTGATCTTGCCGCCCACGCGATCATCGAACTTCTCGCCTCCTGGCGATAATTTAATGCCCTTCTCGCCATCCTTGGCGTAAAGGCCAACCACCACGCCCTGCAGGTTCGTCGTGTTGCAGGAGCCATCCTCGCTTTTGAACCTCACCTGGGGGTTTTCCAAAAACAATTTATTATCACTTTTATAATAACAGCTTAATTTCATTGCAATTAGCCCGTTAAATCAGGTGAAAACATAAGTTCATAAAATTTAATAGTCCCTTCTACTATCTAAATCCATATCTAAAATCGATGAGAAAATTTGCATAACATCTTTTAAATATTTAAATACGGCCACCAAACAGATACATTTAAGTGTAGCAATTAAATTGTATAGTTATTAAAATTAGACTATTATTTAGTTTTGGGAAATGGTCCAATACAAAATCGTAAAGAGAATTGAGATTGACAGTTTACTCTAGCCAACAAAAAAAGTGTTCCATTTTATCAGTTTCTTGGTTCGGGCTTAAAGAACCCAATCGCAGATTTCAAATAAATTTGTTCGAATATCGTTAAAATATCGATATTTTCATATTTCCTCCATTATCTCACCTGCTGAAAGCGTGGCCCACTGACAAAAATGCGGGACCTTTGGCACCTGAAGAATCCCAAGGATCGGCGCACACCGGAGACCAACTGCGATCGAGTCATTTTGCGTTGCAATTTGGATAAACTTCGATGGGATTTGCACAAATTACAGAGAATTGCTGAGCACTAATATGCAACAATTTAGTATCGCGACCGAGTGGGAAAATTGTTTAGATCGACTGCAATGCACAAAAATAAAGAAATAATTAAAAAAAATTGTATTTTTTATAAAAAACTAAGGCAGTGTTAGCTCCGTTGAGCTGGAATCGAGAAACTGGACTGACCCAGCAAAATAACCAAAATACATACTGTCAATTTTTACTAACAGTTTACTAGGATTACACAAAACTATAACAATTTCCTTAATCACAGATCTACAACACCTAACCAAGCGTGAAAATACTTTTGAGTGGACATTATTGGAATTCATTCACGAATAATACTCGCGAACAACCTGGTCGCACTTGAAACTTTATGTGATGATGAAATTTGCAATTATCTGCAACAACAGCGACAACAAGCAAGTGCATTTCTGCAGGCGACATAATGAAAAAGCGAATTGCAGAAGGGGTAAATACGAGTGTATATATAAAAATTGCAACCAAGCCGCAGACGAAACACGTAAAAGCAATAAAGCAATAAATTGCCCAATTTGAAGCACTATTGTAGCCAATAATTTGCACAGCCACTTGGCTGTTTTCTGGTGCAGAAACCCTTCTCCCAACCATTCCAATGCCTACTTGCCACCACCCACCACCCACCACCCACCGCATATAATTTTCAACAAAAATATTCACATTTGTCAATGTCGCGTGATTGATGTGGTCGAACGCATTTCCGCCGAGCCGAGCGGCCAACCGACGTGCTGATGGGGCCAAATAAAAAACAGTCAACCAGCAGTCAGAGAAGCAGAAATACACTAAAAAAGGAATTTAAAATAAATGTTGTAAAAAACAATTAAAACGGCTTACTACCAAATAATTTCTATGAATAATTCACACAAAAAAGAATAGAAATTGGAGAACAGTGATGATTAAATGGTCTCTTTTTTTTAAAAGATTTTAAAGCAATGATGCTAGTTATAATAAACGTTATTTTTAATGGTTACAGTATTTCATTTTATTTAGGTTTGATTAAGACTGTAATATTGTTTTAAAAAATTTAAGGCATCGTTTTCGATGCGTTGCCAACTCGGAATGTTAAATATTTTTTATTGATGCTGCTTTATATAAGATTTCTCTACTAAATATATACAAACTTACAGATAAGGCAGATTTAATTTCCCCGAAATTCTAATAATAAATTGTTGTTAAAAAATCCAACGAGCACAATCTTTGCTTTGATAACCTTTTTTTGCTCAGTATTCCAACAGACACACATGTGAACTCACTGGCAAGTAGGCGGCGCATAAAAACAAGCAAAAACATTCATTTTTTTGTATACAAATGAGTGGCAAGAAGGATGTTGAGGCCAGGGACACGGCCATTTCCATGGTTATATATATGTACGTAGCTATGGCGGCGACTGTGGATCTGGATGTAAATCTGTATCTGAATCGGAATCTGAATCTGGGATGTGGGATGTGGGTCTGGGCGTGTTGGCGACATTACGCGATTTCACGCATGATTTCAAATTAATGACAGCGAGGGAACGCAGGAGAAGAACACCTTTAAGAGAAATTTAAAATGTCCACCCGCACAGGATGTTTAATTTCCTAAATACATAAATCTCACTAATACGCACAACAAACGCCAAATCTAAATCTAGTGCGGTTAACGCTTTTTTGTTGCCACCTTTTGCCGCCCCGTGGGGTGCGTGCCACATCCGAAAATCATAAACAAACTTCAAAGAGGACAATGGCCAAACAGGCAATGGGCGAAAAGCGTTTTGCAGCTTATTACGCACGGTAACCAGTAAACTGGGGAAACTGGGAAAAGTGGGAAAACTGGGAAAACTGGCAACCCGGCAACCGCAACAATTCAGCGAACCTGGATCTGATGGCTCCGTGGGCGGCGTTATATGGCCATATGTTACGGACAGAGAGGCCTAGTTGCCATCTGAGCCACACCATCCATCCGAATCGCCTTCGTTTCCATTTCCGTTTTTTGTCCTCAAAAGCACCAAATGTACCACATAACACTAACACACGTGGCCTTTGGTACTGGCTCTTTGGCAAAATGGCTGGGCGGCGGAAGATCCCTTCGCAATCGAACCCTTACCTTCTCTGCCCCGCTATTTGTTTGCCTTTGCCACAGAATATTGCCAATTGTTGCAGCATTGATGCAAATTTATTGCCTACCGTCTGCCATTTGTGTGGCTTTTCTGATTAAAAGAGATCTCAAAGCTGATTTGGGGATTCCACATTAATTCACAGCTTGAATTGATTTCTTGTTTGCTTTGGAAGATGAGCATTATTTCGAACTTAAATTCAGTAATTTATAATACGTAATAACAATGATTTATAATGAGCCATTAGCACAATATTTGGACTACAAATTTTATATTGTGTAAACTTAACATAGTAATTGGTAAAAATTCAAATGGATACCACCTATTTATGTTATATCAAACAAATCAAGTAACAAAAGAAAAATTTCATAAAAGAGGTAAAAGCTATCTTTGGGAATATTTTACATTTTTTTAAATCAAAACAGTAAATTCATACACCCATGTATTTCTTGTTTAACCTTTCCACTAAAGATCTAATTTAATGTTTTTATGCAAAAGCAAAGTCTGTTCAATATTTGTATAAAAAGTAAATATTATTGCGGTTATGGCATGGAAACCCTAGGCGACATGAATTTAGCGTCGTATGCAATTGTGTCTGCAATCCACCGAGTGAAGCTCACGACGTTTGTGAAGACGGAAACCCCGCTGCAGGGATAGTGTCCAAAGCTGACAATCCCGATCTGGGCATAGAAGGGGCCGAAGCCCAGGTCCACATACATTCCGAGCGGACCTCCGGAGTCCCCGGTGCAGGCGAAGCCATCAGGATCCCCGGCACAGATTTGGTTGTGGTCCACGGAGAATCCATATCGATCATGGCAGGAGGCACGATCGGTTTGAGTGATATTCGCAATTTTAAGTGTGGGACTCAACGAACGGGTTTCAGTCGAACCCCAGCCAGTTACAGTAAACTCCTTTTGCGCATCCACAAACGAGAACCACTCGCCCTGGTTTTCGAGAATCACCAAGCATATTGGACGTATGTATTCTGCGGGGAGTTATTGCCTTTCAATTAATTGGTAACTCCTAAATTAAATAAATTTATTACCTGAAAATGTTACTTCCTGGTTTAGCTTCAGCAAAGCTATATCATAGGTATCGTCAAGGCCGTACATTGAGTGCGAATAAATTTTAGCTACAGTGTATTCCCTGTGACCTGGAGCACATCCAAAAACATTGCAATCTCGTGATCTCCTCCAATCATACTCCCCCAATCGAGCAATTCTGTCGTCGCAATACTGAAAATTAAAATCTTTTAATACTTAAAAACTTTACGACAGAATACTTACAATCGCTTTGGATTGGGAAAGACGCAATGTGCAGCGGTGAGAACAAATTCTAAAAATAAAATTGGTTCAACACGATAATAGCGAGATTGTTTGGGATATTTCACAAAAAGCATAGGATATTTAGTTTAGCTTATTTAAGTTTAAAAATCAGGAATTTTATAGCAAACTTTGTCAATATTCCTATATAATTATCTTTCTTTTTTTGTTTCCAAATAAGAAAAATAATATACGAACCATTCGTTAAGAGTGAACCGCCACATATAAATTCCAAACCATCATGTAAATACACCATCCAAGGGTTTAAACTCAAACCGGCATCCCTGCCACCTAATATCCGATATGAGATTCTCGGAATCCGACCCATTCTGCAATTCGGGTCCAGTAATTTCGACGATCCGTTTACAAGCCAGGTTCCCAAAACTAATGAGACGAAAAAACACGCAACGTACTTCATTGTTCAAGCGCTTGAACAAGACTAAATAAAGATTGTTATTTCCAAGGAAATATATATACTCTCTTATCAATATGCCGGCAAAAAAAAAAAAAGAAAACAAAAATATTAAACTAAAAGAGATAATGCTTTGTTTTTGTAGTGCGGCTCTGTAGCTTTAATATATGTTGGAAGTGTCAGACTGAATGATCTGATAAATCCAATTCGCGTAGCTTAACACATTCGTAAATACTGAAACGCCTTGAAAGGGATGTCGCAGGTGGCTCACTATTCCGAATTGAACGAATCTCCTGGAGTTTCCATAGTTTACCATGCTGCCCAAAGGACCTCCGGAGTCACCTTTTCCCACATATCGTTTGGCTTCGCCTGCGCAGATTTGGGTTCGATCGACATTATATCCAAACCAGGAGCGGCAAGTAGATCGATGGACCTGCGGTAACTTTACGATCTGAAGTTTATCGCTTTCATCAGCAGTATTTGTCGCTCCCCAACCACTAACAATAAAGTTTGGAATGGAATTGAGATATTCTTGCCATTGTGGATTAAGGATCACACAAATGGGTCGTATGCTCTCTATGGAAAATACATTATTTAGTATGAATTTCTACGAACATAAGCCTTCTTACCTGTGTATATGACATTCCGGTTAAGTTTCACCAAAGCTATATCATAGTATCGTGCGTTTTTGTAATATGGATATATGAATTTTTGCAGTATCCAGTATTCTGAATGTGACGGCGCACACTCAAATTGATCGCAATCGATTCGTCGGCTCGCATCGTTCTCGCCCAACCGCACATATCTTGAATGATAATTTAGATTAATAATAATAATAGTAATATTTTTTTTTTAAGCACTACTTACATTGTTCCATTGTTTGGTTTGAAGCAGTGTGCAGCTGTTAGAACAAACCCTAAAATGTTGTTGAAAAGTTGAAAACAGAAATATTACACCAAAACGTATTCATCAATTAAGAACTCAATATATAAGCTAAACAACGTAATATTATTACAAAATAATTCAGATTTATTAAGATAACTGCTGATCAAAAAATGCTTTATGCGGTCAAAAATGTCTTTTTTCATTCGATGCTAACTCTTGGTTTTAATTATAATTCACATTTATTTATATTTAATTAATTGACTAATACGAACAATGATTGACAAGAGATCCGCCGCAAATAAATCTGGAGTTGGAGTGCAAGTATGCCATCCATGGGGCAGACATCAAATCAGCATCTCTGCCTCCAGCTATTCGGTAAGTATATTTCGATACTCCACAGTTGCTATCGAGAAGATAAGCCTGTCCAAGGGAGTCCTGGTTCCCAAGGATCAAAAAGTTCAGAAGCACAAAACTTAAAGATTGCTTCATCTTGAAGCTCGAAATGCAACTGACTAAGGGGACTATTTCTGAAAACAAAGTGCTGCAATAAGAAATGCAAAAATAAACACTTATCAAGAAAATACTTATACGATTTCCACGGAATCCGATTCTTATGCGTAACGACTTTATATATATATATATATATATATATGTATAAATTTATACGATGGTTACACTTTAAATTTACTTTAATTGAAGAAGTGGTTTTTTATTATATTTTGTAGAGATGGTAGTCTTTATTTCTAATTCTTATATATATAAATCTCATGTCACGATGTTTGTCCACGATGGACTCCTAAACTACTTAACCGATGTTAAATTAAATTGGCATACCATGAGCAGTCCGGTCCAACTTGAGAGATAGGATAGCTTAGATCTTTAATTAAAGTCGCAATTTTATTTTATTGCTAATTATTTGTTTATAATGGATTATGTTCGCCTGGTACCTAAAAGTGGATTTTCCAATTTGTCCCTTCGAATTCGTTCCGCCAATACCAACATATTCAACCAAACCTCATTTTGAAGTACCAGGCGAACAGAATGTTTTTGGTGTTAGCATAGCCAACCACGTACGTAGACCGAAGTGTAAATCAAATTCAAATTATAGTGACGAATTATTGTCATACAGTGAAATCATTCCTGCTTTTTAGTTATCTGTGCTTCATTATTCAAAATTCTGTAGATATAAAAAATACACATACAGGTATTGTCACATAATAATTATAATAGTAAATTAAAATGCCGCCGAAAAAATCTAATCTCAACAACGTGAGCAGCAGAGAGGCACGACGCAAACGTGTTGAAAGAGCTCATCAGTTGCCAGAACAAGTCGATACAAGAAATACAGCTCAAATTTACCTTCAAGCTACATTGGCAGTCCACGAAACATGCAGGAATACATACAAGACGCGATGACTTACGTACGTCATTACGGCCGACCGGATTTGTTTATTACATTTACATGTAACCCGAATTGGGAAGAGATACAAACTTTATTATTATCAGGACAACAAGCAGTTGATCGTCATGATATAACTGCTCGCGTGTTTAAACAAAAATTGAAATCCTTAATTGATTTTATTGTTAAATATTCAATTACCTACAGTTCTTCTTTAATTGTATACTTCAATATAATATTACAATAACTTTAGCTACAGCAACGCGTAGCCGGGTCTGCTAGTCTTATATATATAAATCTCATGTCACGATGTTTGTCCACGATGGACTCCTAAACTACTTAACCGATGTTAAATTAAATTGGCATACCATGAGCAGTCTGGTCCAACTTGAGAGATAGGAAAGCTTAGATCTTTAATTATAGTCGCAATTTTATTTTATTGCTAATTATTTGTCTATAATGGATTATGTTCGCCTGGTACCTAAAAGTGGATTTTCCAATTTGTCCCTTCGAATTCGTTCCGCCAATACCAACATATTCAACCAAACCTCATTTTGAAGTACCAGGCGAACAGAATGCAATAGTAGGTGGTTACTTTTTTTTTAAAATTTTCAAATTGCCCGCAAAAGTATGCTATAAAAAATAAGCAAGAGCAACACCACGTTTTGTCTACGAAATATTGGCAAATTTGCTGCTATGCTAAACCGACAATAGCCTGATTACCACGTGTTATTGAGGTTAAGGTATAAATTAAATTTATTTTGTAGTAAACGAAATAGCGTGAAATTCTAATATTTCTACTTTTTTAATTTTTGGTGTTAGCATAGCCAACAACGTACGTAGACCGAAGTGTAAATCAAATTCAAATTATAGTGACGAATTATTGTCATACAGTGAAATCATTCCTGCTTTTTAGTTATCTGTGCTTCATTATTCAAAATTCTGTAGATATAAAAAATACACATACAGGTATTGTCACATAATAATTATAATAGTAAATTAAAATGCCGCCGAAAAAATCTAATCTCAACAACGTGAGCAGCAGAGAGGCACGACGCAAACGTGTTGAAAGAGCTCATCAGTTGCCAGATCAAGCCGATACAAGAAATACAGCTCAAAGAATTAGGACAGCGGAAGGTCGTGCACAAGAATCTCAAGAACAGCGTAGCGAACGCCTGCAACAGAATATTACGAGAACAAGAGCGGCACGAGAACGAAACAAAGATACAGTACGAGCACAAGAACGACAAAGGCAACGGATCAGCCGCTCATTAGTACGTACATCATTCGTTCGTCTTGCTTTTGAATATGCACCAGATATTAACTACTCTGCGCATTCAAAAATTGCTATTGGTGGAATGGATAAAGTATGTCAATATTGTCAGGCGTTGAAATTTCGAAATGAAACTACCGGTATGTGCTGTGCAGCAGGAAAAGTCGTGCTGCCACCACAATAACTTTAGCTACAGCAACGCGTAGCCGGGTCTGCTAGTATAATATAAAATATAAGATAAGCAGCTCTCGCTTTTGGCTTATTGGGATTTCTATCTTTTTTTTTTCCAGATTTATTAACAGTCTACATAGGCTTTGGCCTTAGTGAATGTATAGGCAGTTGTTTAGTGGTTTGTTGAATGAAGTGCAGATTTCTTTGGTTCGAGGTGGTGGGTGTTAGGCATGGAATTCTCAGATGGCTCGTAAATTTGCCGAATGCATAAATCACGCAATGAAATTCTAATTTTTGCGGTTCCTGCAGACAACAGAACAATGTAGCTCGGACTGGGAAAGGAAATGCATTTCGAGTCTGAATCAATCATTATTTTTAATGCACAAATGGGAGCAATTACAGTCAGTTTGCGCCAGACAAAAGAATGTCTTACTTGATTTATCGAGGCTTGGCAAATGTTTGTTGACCATGCATCTTGTTTATCGTGTGCAAAGTTGCTGCTTTAAATACCGAGTACAGATAGTCGACTGTTAATTCATTCATGCTGGTGAAAGTAAGAGTATACAGTGGAAAAATATGTTTTTTTTTTTTTTTTTTACCAAATTCGTGTTATAAATTTAATTTTCTGTTGAAGCTTTTAATAAAATACAATTTACTAATTAAGATAATAACTTATGTTTTCTTTATAAGCTTAGCCTTTCAGCTTCTCGCTAATTGGTCTTCAAAAGAATTCGTGAGTAATAATAATTTTTTAACAAATTCTTGTCAACAGTCATGACACATTAATAAATAAATACATATAAATAAATAAATATAAAATAAATCAATAAATACTTTCAAGCATTTTTTTTTTGTAGTGCAATAGTTTTAACGGTCTAAATAGCTTATGGGGCTGGTGACAGTCTCAATTAACACCTGGCACACCCCCGGTGTAAAAGACAAAGACAAATATTGTAGCCACAGTAGTATAAAAGCATTAACTGCCCCAAAAAGTTTAAGAGTCGCATAATGGCTTTCTCCACCTCCGCATCGCTTTTTCTATTGGTCTCAGCAATTAGCTGTTTGGCTTTAGTTTCTGGAGATTTACGAGCAGATCTACGGGATTTTGTGGCCTTGGTTCCCCGCCGAAGAATCGGATTCATCGCCGCCAGATACTATATTTTCGATCCGAAGTTCCGTCAGGCAGTCGAATTTGTTCGTAGCGATGAGTTTACGACAACTTGGCAGCAAGTTCGGGCAGCTCCTGATTTTGCGGATGTAGTTAACTACCTGACTGAAAATGGATCGGGTTATGATATCACAACTCTGGTGGACAGTTTGATAAATCGGTTGCGCACATATCAGCTGTCGCGCACTGTACCCGTGGAACTAATGCTGCGACGCGATTTGACCACTTTCCTTCGAGATGTTCTTCAAAGTTTGCCAAGAACTAGAATCTATTCTTTGATGTCCCAGAAAATGAGACAGAGTGCTGAGTTTGCCAAACTCTACAAGGCTGTAAGGAATAAGGAGTTCAAGGAGTTGGTGCAACGTGCCAGGGTAAGCCTATAAAAATATTTTATGAAATATTATTTCATATTACTTTACATACTGTTTCATTATTTTAGCGTTCCAGACAACTGCAAGCACCAATTAAAAAGTTAGCCCAAAAAAGCATCAATGTGGATGAACTGATCCAAGTTGTATTTGAAATAATCAGTTGGGGTCCTCAGATTACATCGACTCAATAGATTTGATTTCTCTCCCCAACCAAAAGAATTAAATTATTTATTTTACTCTTTAATTTAATTAAAAACACATAATTTTTTGGCATTTCCGTTTGAAATATACGTGATTCGTCCTTGGTGTGTTAATTAAAAGTTGTTATTGTTGCTGAAATCCATCTTGAATAGCTCAAGACATTTGTAAAAACTGCTGGACTTTTATAATCTGCTATGTGATAACTGACAATTCCGAATTGAACGAAACGTTGGATACCTTTCAATTGCACCCATATTCCCAATGGACTGCCAGAATCCCCTTTGCCCATATAATGTTTAGCATCACCTGCACATATCTGGGTATTATCTATCCTATATCTATAAATTCTGCTACAGGTGGCTCGGTCCACTTGAGGCACTGAAACTACCTGAAGAATTGAGCTCATGTTAAACTTCTCTGTTGCTCCCCAACCAGTGACAATAAATTCTGGAATTGTGTTTACGTATGCATGCCATCGCTGATCCAATAACACGCAAATTGGCGAAACGCTATCTGAAATAAATGTCGTTATTTATCAGTGGTAATACTAAATAGCTGCTTACCACAATGTATTACCTGTGTATATTACGGATTTACTGAGTCTTGCCACAGCTACATCATAATAGGTATAAGACTTGTAGCGGGGGTAGATATATTTATCTGTAATCGCATATTCCATGTGATCTCCCAATCGAACAAATCTTTATTAAAATCATTTTTTAAAAGAGTATCTTTATTAGAAATTCTGAATTAACTTAAATATTGAAATACTTACACTTCAATGTATTTATCAAAGCAATGCGCAGCGGTGAGGATATAGCCTGAAAATGGGTTAAGTAAAATATATAATAATATAATTAATTTTGATTTTTGGCTTGCGTAAAAAAAAAATGCCTGGCCTTAAAACACGAACTTTTGTGGACAAGAGAACCGCCACAAATAAACTTGGTGGTTGTATACAAGTATGCCATCCAAGGGGCAGAATTCATCTGTGTATTTTGGCCTCCAGCTACTCGCGATCCAGTGTATTTCGTCCTTCCGCAGTCATTGTCCAATAGCTGAGCTAGTCCTTCTGAACTGTGATCCCCAACGATCAAATAAGTTACTAGGAACCAAGTAAGCGTGTGGATCATCGTTAAGCTGTTAATTGTTACTAACGCACAAATAATATTTCATTGTTAATGCAAACAACTGGGCAACATGTTCAATAAAAATATATGTTCTTATCATTTCTGGGTAATAAATAAGTTATTGCAATTGCATTAATACTTCATTGCATTGATACTTAAGTACTCAATAATTTTCTTAAGAAGTTTATTGGACCATACACATTTAAAAAACATACTGCCATAATATAATAATTTTATTATTAAACCCTTTCAGAGCAAAAGAGTAAAATTTTATCAAAATCGGATTACTCTATCATAAAGCTGCCATAGGAGAGATTGAAAAATATATATGTTAATAATGGAAATAATTTGATAACATCGTTTTTTTTTATCCCACGAGCTTGATTTATTGAATATCAAGTTTTTTAACTACCTTTATATTGAGTAAAAAGTTTCATAAAAATCGGATAACTATATCTTATAGCTGTTATAGGAAAGATCGAACAATCTATATAAAAATCTATATAGATAAGCATGATGTTTGGAATATAAAGTTTTCTAATGACTCTTGAATTACGAATTAAAATTCATCAAAAACGGACAAATATATCCTGTGGCTGCCATATGATCTATAGTCGAAAATATGGAAAATGAATAGAAAAATCGTCTTAGCTTGATGTTGATTAACCTTTATGCATTTTGTTCGATATATTTGATGACTGCTAGGGTATATAAGCTTCGGCTTGCCGAAGCTAGCTTCCTTTCTTGTTTTTTTTTTAGATCTGTAACATCCGAAAATCTTATTAATGAAGTCACTAAAAAAATCAGTATTAAAATGTTAAACACGTTTAAAAGCTACTGTGCATTATCTTTAAATGTAAACAAAATTTAAGCTGAACATGTGCGGAATTTTTTTGGTACTTCACGAGGTATTCTGAATCCAAACCAACTAGACAGCAATATAGAAACAAAATTAGGAACAAAATCGCAATGCAAATACGTGGGTCAAAAAAAGAGCATATATATATATATTTTATTGAAAAAAGAACTACGGCGACCAAAAAAAGGGAAAACATTACTTTATTGTATTAATTTTAACATTCTGAAGCTTCCCGAAGCTAGCTTCCTTTCTAGTTTTTGAGTGTTTTTGATATGCTAATCTACCTAAACAAATTACGTAAAAGCGTTGCTGATAACAATATAGAACAAAGAACTTTGATTGTTCGATCTGCAGTGAATCAAAACTTTTTAGGAATTCCCCCGAGGTTATCATTATACTCTTGCAGAGCAAAAGGGTATTATAATTTTTTAATCCCACAACGTTATCATAAAAAAATCTATGCAGAAATAACGGAAATAAAATTATAACACAGTTGTTTTTCGTCAGAGAAGCATATTTTTTTGAAAAAGGAAGTTTCCTAATGACTTTTGAATATCGAATGAAATTCCATAAAAGTCTGACGACGATATCATATAGCTGTCATATGAACAATAGTCGAAAATATAGGCGATTGATGAAAAATCGTCATAGCTTCAATGTTGTTTAGCCTTTATGTACATATAATATTTTGTTCGGCAAACCGAAGCTTGCTTTCTTTCTTGTTTATATTTTGACTATAGTTAGAACTCGCAGTGTAAGGGTATATTGTATTATAAAGGTTAAGAGCCATTATATAAATATATATTTTAATGTTTTTAAGTTTTTGATCACCATTACATTCTATGACCAAATAAACTTAAGAAATAATTGAAAAGAAAAATTTTTAACTATTTATCTAAAACAAATAATGAGGTTAGGTCTTTTGTTTTAGAAGGGTATTTGAACTGCACATAGCCGAGCCTAGCTTTCTTTTTGTTGTTCCAAGTTCTGAACAACATGTATTGGGTAAATAAAGCATGGCTCAAGCATGCCAAGGATATGACTTTTGGGGCCTGGTTGTCATCTTTTCACCTGATGTGATGGCAGTACAATGTGGAAAATCAGCAAAAAGGAAAATCCTCATCGTCATATGCTGGCGCAAATGCACAATATGCCATCATTAGTGCAACACGAAACCAGGTCGCATTCGGATGACAAAATCGGGGAGTTGAAAGGGGAATGTGAAGGGGTAAATGCATCTTGCTGACGCAATTCCTGACAGAATGCTTCATTGATTCGGCTTTTGGGGCCCCGGTTATACGGAGTGATATCGGGCGCCTAAAAGTCAGTCAGACTGTGACAAGTCGGTGCTAAATTTGCAGCTGCATAAAGGACTTTATTTCGTCGTGCTTGGTGCATAATTTGTCGACATCGACATAGTTTTTATGGCTGGCAGTTGCAAGTTTATTTGCCACAAAATGCGGCCATATAAGCGTTGCCAAGTTTATTTCGAATGAACCAAATTGCGCTCGCTGTTTTTGCTTTTGCTGTTGCTGTTGCTGCTGCTGCTTTTGCGATGTTGCAGCCACGGCTGCTGAATATGCAACAAAAGTTGTTGCACTCGCAACGCCCACAACACACATGGCTAGCTAGCAAAAGCCAAGCCAACCCGAGTCAAGCCAAGCCAAGCCGATCCGGCACGGCCCACATCATTTTGCAGCACTTTTCGGCTGACAGAGAGATGCAGAGGCGGCGAATGGGAACGAATGCGATGCCCCAGCTGGCAGCTCCTGCCGCCATCCCCTGCGGCTCCTTTTTTCCCCGGACTCCTTTTGGTCCTGCTGCTTCTGCTGTTTCCCCATTTTGCTTGACATTAATTTTATGCCATGTTGCTGGCGTGCCAGCGGGCCAAAACGCGCTTAAATTGTCGCATTTGTCTTGCCGTTTTAAGTTGGCTGTTGCTGTTGCTTTTGCTGTTGCTCCTGCTGCATTGCATAAACTTCTGTGTAATCCTTTCAATTTGTTGCATACTTTTAGGCGGAAATTAAATAACAAGCACTACGTGGTGGCTGCTACACTGACAAAACAACCTTACATTTTTGAACTAAATTTATGATTTTATTTATGATGTTAGTGTCAGGAATAATGTAACTTTATATACACTATAGAAAAATATTTTTTATTTCAATTAGAGAATAAATAAAATTTCATAACAAAGTACTTAATTTTTAAAATCTTTTTTACTTACCAGGATGTTGGGATCCGAAAGTTTTAAGTCCCACCAAAAACATGTCACCTAACTTATGATTTATTGAGTTTTAAGTTAAGTATCTTAAGTAATCAAGTCTGAAGATAATATTTATAAAAAAAGAATTTGAGATAAGATCAACATGACATTGAAAACCCTTTACATTTCAAAATCTCTTTTTCTCAAATGCAGTGAATATTTTAATTCAAAAAAATTAATATATTTCCTTTGGAACTTAAGAACTTTTCTGAAAGTGTGTTTACTTGCTTTGTTACTTGGCTCGCATTTGTTGGGAAACTTGTTCTACACGTGTTACAGCGTACACTCTAGTTCATCAATTAGTAACCTAGACAATGTTGCTCCATTTCTGCTTCTGCTGCTGCTGCTGCTTCTGGTGCCTTGGCTTTCTGAGTCCCCCAGATTTGAAACCCTTCGTCGTGGTCCTTGGAGTGCAATCATACAGCTGGAATTTATGCTACGAATTTCGGTAATGAATTTTGCAAAATAGTTAAATTGAATTTTATGGTACGAAGGCTCTTGTTATGCCAACTCCAACTCCGACTTCATGTTGCTGCCATTGCCGCTGTTGTTGTCATTCGGCATCAAGTAAAAGTAAATAATTGCTGCTTAAAATGCTCGTCAGGAGTTGGCCATGCACTCGTACTGCTTGCTACCTCATTCGTATTTTATTTTCATGCTTGGCCAGCAGCCCTTTGGGCCTTTTTTCGGGTGGCCAGAATTTTGAGTGGCAGCAGCAGCAGTAGCACAGCAGCACAGCAGCATCAGGAGCTTCGTCCTGATGGGTCGATTTTTTTTTTGCTCCTTGGGCGGCAGACTCGTTACCGCCTTAACTGCAATATCAGTTACAGGAGTCACTGCTGCCGCTCTCTATTTCAAAGCATCCTTTTTGGCCCCATCCCTGCAGCACCCACCCCTCTTTTCCACCAATTCCATCCCGATTCCATCCCGTTCACTGGCTGCCGGTTATATTTCGACCAGATTGTCTGTATTTGCGGTTTGTGCGTACGTGACATGGATGTTCGTTCGACTGGCATGCCTGCTTGCTTAACAATTAGTTTTAAAACGCTGCAGGACATATCCAGTTCTTGTACTCGATCTCGTCCTCGTACTCATTAGAGCTGGGGGGAATTTTCCAGCAAAACCAACTGCGTAATCCTTCGGCCAAATAAAGCTTCCACTTCCACTTGCAGCGTCCGAAAAACCCAGAGAAAAAACATCGAGCCAAATCGCAAAAAAAGGCGAATAAAAATCAACAACAACAATCAATGTTGTCCCGTAATCAATTAACGATTTAACGTTCGTCTAGGGCTGGTCAACTGGCCAGAGTGCGCCGTCAGCATTTGGCGCCGTTACAAACGCCCCCATGCGCCACCCATTTCCACCCCCTTTGCCACCCAATTTGAGTCCCCTTCCATGGGTTTTATTTGTGTATGCGTTTTGGGGTCGAAGGTCGGGGGTCATGTTGACAAGGACTGCATGGACACGTCATCGTGGCTGCGTTTTGGGTAAAGCGCGAGTGTCTTTGTGTGCGCAACTGCACTGGCAAAAAATAAGCTCTAAGAACTACTAAATTACCCTTCGAATATCAATAAACATCATAATATTCTCAAAAACTGCAAATCAAAATCGACTTAAAAATTTATCCAAATAAAAAACACATTTCTTTAATTAAGAACTGTAAATTTAAGTGTTGGAAGTGCAAGCAAACGCGGACAGGGCTGTCATCTCTTTGAAAGACCCTCTTTACTCTTCCATTTTCTCCATTGAACGAAGTGAGCGAAACCCCAAGCGAAATTCGATAATCTGCAAATGGCAATCTCATTCTTGATTGCCTGCGTACCACTTCCATTTGAAACAATTATTCGGGGGCGATGGCAACCCTGCACCGACTGCAAA